AGGTTTCAGAGTGCTGAGGTGCAAAGGATTTATTTGGTTACGTGTGCTTTTATGTCAGGCAAGTGTCATTTACAGTATAAACGTTCCCCACTTCATAAGCTTTACAAATGTGCAATTAGATAAGCAAAACAAACAGAAAGGAAATGTGAATCCAAGACAAACAGCAGGCAAGTGCACTGTAGAAAAATGGCAAATTTACAATTTCTTTGCAAATGTAGACCAGCAGTGATAAAGGGTCTGGTTTGCAATACACATGAAGGTAATATGTCTCAATCAGCTGAGGGAAGAGGTTAGGTCACCTGTCAGCTGTGACAACTGGATATGATTAACCAAACAAAGACTGAGCCCTGCTGTGAAATGGGAGCCACAGAGAGTCATTTCTAAAAAACTCTCTGACTTTTTTTGCTCATTTTCTCTCCTCCTTTTTCATAAAGAAAAAAATTAACAAATGCAAAGTGAGTTTCAAAACATTTTTTTGACTATGGGGTAAAAATGTGCCCTTGAACTTTGAAAGATAACTGTCAAAGTCTAAAAATACCAACTGAAAAATAAAAACAAGAAGGAAAACCAACATGTTATTGATTTTAACAACATTTATATTTTTATTAGTTTTATTTGGAATTTGTAGATGCTTCTTTACTGTATGTTTGATGCTCACAACAGAGACCCCTTTACAAAAGAGGAAATGAAGGGAAAGAAGACTCTCCTCTGATCCACACACTCATTAAGCCAGTTACTTTTAGACATGGCAAAAACTCCACAGAGACATATAAGATATAATACATATAAGAACACACGTCTCCTTCAATTGTTTTCTTCATTGAGGTCACCATGCATTTTAAGCCACGAAGAAAGGTTCATGAGTTGCTGTTTTTGCTAAGTGCTGAGATGACCCTGGCAACCCTAGCTCTTGTGGTGCAGGTGAGCACCACAGCCTGGGCAGTCCCAGTCACAGTTGGCTAGTGACATGATCTAGGCTCAAATTGGTGATAGGAATATTACAGGGCACTGCCTGAAGAAATCCCAATCACTGCTGGCTAGTGACTTTATACAGGGTAAAATTAAAAATGTCAAGATCATTGGACACAGCTTGGGGAACCCCAGTCACAGTTGGCTAGTGACATGATCAAGGTTCAAAGTAGAGATGTGAATATTACAGTGAACAGCCTGGACAATCCCAGTCACAGTAGGCTAATGACATGAGCTAGGTTGAAATTAGTGATGTCAAGATCACAGGGTACAGCGTGGGAAATCCCAGTCATGGTCGGCTAGTCACATGATCTAGGTTGAAATTAGTGATGTGATGTGAAGACTTCATGGTACAGCCTGTGCTCTAAATGACCAACATCACTGGCTGAACTACTCTGGAGATTTTCCAGGATTTTATTTGTGTGTTGAAGTAATAGGCATCCCATTCTCCCTAGGCCACTTAATACAGAAACTAGTGTGAGCTCTGGCCCAATGAGCAGCTGTGGCGCTGGTATGGACTTTTATCTTAAAGTACTGGAGAAAACATTCCAAATCACGAAAAACTTTAAAGGCTAACCAACCAAGTCTGTCAGACTGCAATAGCAGATTTTTGTTTCAGGAAAATAGTGCTGTTAACATTTCTTACAAGTGCCTGAAATGTACAGTACCTTCACTAAAATTTTAGCTTTGTCCATTGGGTTGATTTCTTCAATATGTTTTGAGATACTACATACCTGAATAGATCTGCTTTTTGTGAAGAAGGCTTTGTTCCTCCATATCTGCACACCATGCCTGCCTGTGTATGACATTTCTTCCGGGTCTGGAATCACTCTGATCAGTCTTCTTTAAACTCTTTCCAATTGTGTTCATTTGGTAATGTGGTAAACTAAAAAAAAAAATCACACAAAGATTCTATATAAGGGCATAAAATGCTTTGTAGAATTCAAATTTCTTCCCTTGATCTAAAATGTACAGTAACCATCTCAAATTGCCTCATTTGATCTCATCATATACAAAAGATAATGTAACAACCCATATGAAACTTAATAAGACCAAAATAGGCATTGACTAATAAAGATTTTGTAAGTAGAACGATAATAATGGCGTCTTTAAGGGGACTGGTGAATTTAAAACAATGTCAACAGAACTGGTAACGCATCACTTAAAGGCAAGTATAATCCACCTTATACAAAAATGTTTTAGCAAGCAACAAAAGAAGAAGGGATTTTTGCCCTAGGAGTGCACAGTACTAAGTAACCACAGCCAGTCGGTTCCTGATTCGAGCCTTGCACTGCAGCTGTTTTCCAAGCTAAACAAGATATTGAATCTCCTTGTGGTTCACTTTGGCAGAAGGTAAACTAAGTTGCCATTGTGAATGAATCTGAAGCAACATTTATTTGATTATTTTGTCTACTACTCTCTGTCTTGGAGAGCCACTTTTGACAAAAGGTATCTGGCAAATTAGGAATTATCCATCCATTTTCAAACCGCCTCATCCTTTCAGGGTCGAACGAGTGCCAGAGCCTCTCTCAGCAAGCAACAGGCTAAGCAGGATAAGCCCTGGACAGGACACCAGTCCATCACTGGACAGACACACACACAAACTGTGACATGCACACACCGACACATTGACCAATTTTCCCAGAAACCAATTACTTTATCACTGTGTCTTTGGACTATGGGAAGAAATTGTAGCACTCAGAAGAAATCCACACAAACATGGAAAGAATATACAACCTCCATGCTGATAGCACCCCAGGAACTGAACCCAGGGTTGACCACCGTGCCACTATGTCACCCACCCACGAGAAATTATCATTAATAAATTACAAATTAATTTAAAAAAAAGACGGTTGTGCTGCTATTAACATTCTAGAATAAACAATTAGATGGTGGCTGGAACAGAACTCTGGAAATGAGATTGAGAAGGGAGTGGGAGAAGGAGTTCTGCAACCTCTGCAGTGGGTGAGGAACATGAAGAATATGACTATTATTTTTAAAGCTTTATCTGTCTTACCCTCAGATGTAAGCTCCATTTCTTATGTGTCATCACACGCTAAAGAATGAATGACTGCCTGTGCTGAGCCCCAGCCATAAACACAGAGTACCGTGTTTCCATGTATTTGTCTTTTAGATTTTGGTGTATGACTAAGCGGTAAGACTAAGCGATGCACGAAAACTCTCGAGTGACCTGTGCGTCACCCTCTACCTGTAGGTGGCAGGAAAGCCGCGCGCGATCTGGTGCTTTGTGACTCAAAAAGGTGAAAACTTAACCTAACATCTTCAGCACCCGCCTTTATTTTTAATGTTCTCACTCTGAGGTTCAGTGAAAGACAGCACTCTTTTCATTGCCGTAAAGTCTTCAGTCTTGTTTTTCATGATGCGTTTTAGCAAATCCCGGTGTAAAAACATGATAAGGAAAACGCTAGATGAGCCGATACTTCCAAAGGGTTAGGGAAAAATAAACTCGGTCGTGTCATAAATGAGTTCAAAAACAAACAAACAAACAAACAAACAAACAATGAAACACAAAGAAAGGTCGCATTTTGTGGTAATCCAAGACTGGTATCGATTTATCAAGTGTGCAACTCAAGCTCACTATTTAACGGTACTTTTTAAAAACAAAAAAGAATGAACATATAGGATTCTCGAAAGTTTAAATAGAGTACTATAGGTCCGAACATACACTGCATAATTCTGCTGGTTATTATCTTTACGATTTGTAGACGTTTACAGCCTTCACTCGCTGTGCCTCAGGTGAACGGCTGGTGTATATCTTATAGAAGACCTCGTTTTCAGAAAAAGAAAATGACAGTAACAGATTTGGCGGAAGACACTTGGCGCATGGAGGTCTGATGTCTCGTCTGTTTTCTTGTAAGGGAAATTGATGGATAACATTGCGGGGTTTATGGGAGTGCCTATAAATATGTGCAAGTGTCATTTTGTAAAAATGTTGTCGCGCAGTTTGAATTACATTCAGAGCTAGCAGCACTGTTGATGTAATTCAGGTGTGACCTTGTCCATCTCGTATTTTGTGTTCGTCCACAGATTTCAAGGAGTGTTTGACGAGATACAGGATTTTACTAAGGACTATTTTATGAAAAGGGCAAAATAACCGTATTATCTGAAATAGCAGACGGATAACCCAAACATTGGATTCTTTATACCTTGAAATGGAATTAACACCATCTCCCATGATTTCGAATCATAAAAGTAAAAATAACCTTTGTATTTTCTTTTTTTTTCAATTTATTTTTACAGCACAAGTCAGTCTGGTCTCTTAGAGAAACATCTCTTGGTCATTTCTTCATTCTGACGAACGCGCTTCGTACGTTTTGACGCCGGTATTTCTCATACTACTATGTATTGAAACTTGTCTAGCGTTTCTCTCCGGGCTAGCGCTGCTCCCAGCTTGTGCGCTTTTTCGCGCTCGGACGCTCACCGGAGCGTACTCCGCGGGGTCTTGTAGTGCAATCAGCCTGCCAGTTTAGGAATGCCAGCTTTCTCCTGTGCACGGACATTAGTGATGGGTTGTATAGCCGCACTACCCAAGAACAAGAGCATAAGCTTTTTCAGACAACCCATATGATAATCTTACATTTTCACAACCTATGGACAAATCGCACTTTCAAAAAAACCAAGAGATGGCGTTTCGGTTCACATAAAACAATGTTGTATTAATCTTTGGCAAACAAATACTTACGAGAAAAGTGAATTGTTGATAATAAATGGAAGCTGTTTTTTTAATGTGGGTGAGTCGTTGTGTATGGTCGATCGTTTTTTGTATTACGAAAATGAAACAAAACCGGCTGCGTGCCTTGATTTATGGTAATACTTTAATATTCCAACAGAAAACTGGCAGTCACTCGTGGTCCTGTAAAACCCTGGACGCCCGCCAGGTTTCACTCCCTGTAGTAAATAACGCATCTAATAAGACTACAATTTGTTGTGTTCGCATCCACTCGGAATCCGACACCTCGTTCCATGAGCAAGGCTCGAGTAGCACACGGGAACGCTGCCCAATATTTGAAGCCTTCCGCATAGCAGGTCATCCAATACAGGGCATGCTGAAAGGCTGACATAAGCCCAGAGACATCCGAAATCCGTGGCTTCGCACTGGTGTAAACGCAGCCGGGTGTGCGAAGAGGTAAACTTTGTGTTTAGATTCTGAAACCGGGAGGGACTTGGAGAGAAACGTCAGCGACGCAAACCTATAAATCTATCTCCCAGGCAGCATCTCCTGGCAAAGAGTTCGCGCTGTGCGCAGGCAGCGGCACATCTGTATTAAGTCGAAACCTGCATCCCCCTTCATCGCTTCCAGCATATTATCCCGGGAGAACAGAAGGGGGATTAAAAGCGATCTTCTCACGTTGTCGGGAGATACCCTAATCAAGTGTGGATTGTAGAAGCGATTCATCCTACTTCTGACATTCCAGTTGGAATTAATATTGCTGGGTGACGCGATCTGCCTTCGTGTACCGAAGACTGTCCCTATTTTTTTTAACATTTCTTGAAAAGTATTCGTCTTGATATAACTCAAGAGTCTGGATCCCGTTTCTCAGCTGTTTTTTTTTTATACCCAAACTATCTCAGCCAGCTGCTGTTACAGGAGCCCCGATGTCTTCATTTGACGCCTTGCAGTTGCTGATGGTGGGTATCGCTCAGATTTCTAGCGTGGATCTAAGCATCCAGTTTGCATACAACTGAGTTTGAGAGAGACCGGTCACAGACTGACCGCGCTTGTACCTGTGGCTCCCTGTGTGATTTCTGCACGGTTGAGAGCGGACGCGAAGCGATTTCAAAACTGTGCAGATTTAATTACCCCATCCCCTGCGCGGGCAGGAAAGAAGATAAATCGGGTGTGATTTTTCTGAAATTTGATTTTTTTCCCCCTCTCGGGACACCTGTGGTGTGTCAACGCTGGAAGAATTAAATGCTTTTCTTGCGGTTTTTCTTGGATTTTCTAATTAATGCTCAAAACAGGTCTGTTCAGACCCAATAAAAGGTGAGTTGGGATTGTTAGACACCTTTGGAGTGCTTTTGTTTGACATGTTGATAATCAAGCAGCCTTAATATATATTTTTTAATCCGTTGTTCTAGTGTCCAAACGTTATAGACCACGTACACGTATAACAGAAGATAAGTCAATTTTCTGCATGCTTCACTTTCAGGTGACGTTCAATTTAAAACAAATTCTGAAGTGCTTTAATGAAAGAATTACGATCGCTGAAATATGGAAATTTTCAAGAACACACGCACCTCGTATTGTAGATGTCATGTTTTATTTTTGTTTTTTGCATAACAATGAAATTAATTTAAAAAATCATATATCCTTATGCATACAAACCTTGTTATTATAAAAATAAAGTTTACCTTTACCTACGCACTCACGGCTTACGATATACTGTATAATGCGTTTAAACCTTAGCTTTAACACGTGTTGCCTTTGAACGAAACAAGTGTTATTAACTGCACTTGTCTAAAATAATTTCTATATGCAAATAAGAGACGCTAGCACACTGCACGAGTCACTAGATGTATAAAATGCTTGATGTTTTGATGTCGAGTTACTTTCATATTTCATAAACTTAAATATATCAGTAAGATTACTGATTATTGATTATTACTGGCGTTGTTATT